AGAAAAACGTTATGATATCTAATCAAAAACACCTTAGGTGTGAAAAAAAAGATGTAGCCAAAAAAGGATTGAACATATGACTTAAAGGAATGAAATCAAAATTGGTGGCCAAATTAGTAGCTACACTTTATAGCATTGATAAGAATTTTACAGCAAATATTCATTCATTAGTTAGATAGGCACAGTATTTTCTTTTATCCACCATCATGCCCCAAGTTGAACAAAAAATGCAGCCTGGCTAACTAATGTATGAATATTTGCCGTCAAATTCTTATCAATGCTATAAGTGTAGCTACCAGTTCGGATACCAGTTTTGATTTTATTCCTTTAAGTTGCACTTTCAATCCTTTTTTCTTTTCACACCCAAGGTGTGTTTGATTAGATGTATTATAGTTGAGTTAACCCTCTCTCCAGGGGCATCTTTTTTTGTGTATGTCACAAGGTTTTCATGATATACCAATAAATATAGAGTACAAATGAGCTATTTATCCATATTTTAATAGTACAAGAGTTTTAAGATTTTACTTTTATAAGGCAATATTGAAAAATATACTCTATTTCCCCTAGTGTGAGAATTGTGATGTTTGCTCTATAGGCATCTCCTCTTCCCTTAGTTACTTAACTCTCCTCCAAGAATTATGAAACTTAATTTAAATTACTCATTATATTATCTTCAATGATCCAGCAAAGCATAGTTTTCATAGCATTCAATACTATTTGGTTAGAGCCATGCAATATACAATCGGACCCCTCTTGCCATACCCACCTGTCACATCCTCTCTTTCAGAAACTGTCAGTAGTTCTCTCTGATGTTTAATACTATATTATATATAACAAACAGAAAGCCAAGGTTTTCATCTATCAAATGACATATATGACATTGTTTTCTGTAAAGAGAACTGCCAATTTTGCATTCAGTTCAAGTTTGATTATTATTATTAGAAACACATTAACAACCTTAGTTTAAGTTATAATGGCTCTTGTTACATAGTTAGAAAGCCAGAAAAATTGCTATAGTAATCAAACATTGTCTGCTTTTTGCACAGTATTTTTGTGTGTTCTTTAGTGCATTATTTCATTAAATAAAAAATTAAGCACAGTACTACCATTAGTATAAAAAGATAGGGTTAAGGTGCCAAATTTTTGAAGATACATAAAGTGTATTTTTTGCAACATTTTATTCATATTATATGGTTATTGTGGTATGTGATTTTAGGTATAGAGCAATATTTATTATTTCTTCAACTTAGTTTTAAGATTTGGTGTATTATTTTGAGTTTGTATGTGTATACATAGGTATTTCTACTGCAACCGTTTTTGACTTAATCAGTTTTCTGTCTGTATTTTTAGCCACTCAGAGTTGCATAAACTACAGCAGCTTAAAGATGAGACAGGAGAACTTTCATCAGCTGATGAGAAACGCTATCGAATGCTGAAAAAAGCCTGTGAAAAAGAACTCTTGGAGGTATAAATATTTATTTTTTTGTTTTGTAAGAAATTAATGCTTCTGAACCTTTTCTAAAACTTCCAAAGTATTCTTCTCAGTGTTCCTAAAAAAAGTTATTCATTGATAGATGGACATGTAGATATATAACTTTTTTATGTTTTATCTAGGCTGCAGATGTCATATGCTGCACCTGTGTTGGTGCAGGAGATCCAAGGCTGGCACGCTTCAAGTTCCATTCCATTCTGATTGATGAGAGCATGCAAGCTACTGAACCAGAATGTATGGTACCTGTTGTTCTAGGGGCAAAACAGGTAGGTAAAAGTATTCAAACTTTTAATAATAATGAAAATATATATACTGAACATATTATAGACATGTATCATGACTAATGTAACATAGTTTAATGCTTTTGTTTATTGATAGCAGTGTTAAGTAACTTACATGTAATTAACCTGTATGGTTAGCTATTTAACTTGTACATGTTGCATTTCACCAGCAAGAATCAGTGCTTTTTAAAAGCTAGTGGGAAGAGCACATGTAAACTCAAATAAGAATGAAACAAGCAAATGGATAACGGAATACAAAAGGTACATTCGTGGTTTAAGATCCAAAGAGTAAAATATATATATATATTTTTTATATTTGGTAGTACTGATTCATAAATTTCAAAGTAAATAAATGCATTGATGCTTATAATTTTTTTTATGAAACCCCCATTTGATTTTCTTTAACAGTTCTTGTTGCATAGTTAGAAAGCTAGAAAAATTGTGATAATTATGGGACCTTGTCTGCTTCTTGTACATTATTATACTGTGTTCTTTGGTGCATTATTGAATTAAATACAAAATCATTTAGTGCAGTACTACCATTAAAAAGTAGGGTTAAGTGTCATTGACAATCGACAGCAAAAAAAAAGATCAAAATATGTACTATTTCTCTTTTTTTTTTCCAAATTTATCCTTTATTTATTATTGTAAAAGTAACTAAAATGTTAGTTAATGTTATATTAGGTGAAATAAATAATAATATAAAAATTTTCAAAAGGATACGCTCATGAGTAGCTTATGCATAATGTAATTTGATAGCATAACATAAGGTGCATGTTTGCCAAGTGATTTACAACTTATAATGGCATGAGTAGTAGTGATACAGGGTTCAGGGGAAATAGAATGATAAAATTTAATTATAAATAGATGTATACTGTTAAGAGTTTAAACTAATTAGCATAAGCAAATGTAGTTTCACATTATAATTTGAAAAAGAAAAAAATGGTAATTTAGATTTAAAATTTTTTTTTTGTTTTTGAGGTCAGTCACATTGACCAACCTTGCATACAGAAACTGTATCTAGTGATTATCTGTTCTGTTTAAACAAGCATTTTTCCTATCACCTTTATGAAAGTTTTTATGACTTAAGGTAGCCCTTTACTAACAGGAGATATCTATAAAAAATATTTTGTCAGGTTATGAAGTGTTTGTTTGTCATATTTACTGAAATTTTAATTTCATTTAATGATGGTGTTTAACATTATTAGAAGTAAATGGTTTTTATTGATTCAGTATGAATTCTGTTCACAAACAAGAAAGTTGGAAAAGTAGTTTTGCTTCATACTTGCTTCTTTTAAGATCATAATTAAATATTTTTATTTTAATATTTGTGTAACCTTTGTTTAAAGTTATTTTCTCAAGTAATAAATCATTAGTTGTGAATATATGCAACATCATAGTTACATAGTTTTCATTTTCTCTAGGAGAATTAGATATCTTTTATTGGAAGATTAATTAAACATTTGGTATGTCAGGAACTGTGAATGTTAAATATTTTATAAAGAAAACTTGGTTTAGCATATATTTTTTTAATTTTCCATTTCAGTTAGTCTTAGTTGGAGACCACTGCCAACTTGGTCCTGTAGTTATGTGTAAAAAAGCTGCTCGTGCAGGATTTTCACAATCTCTGTTTGAACGACTTGTTGTACTAGGTATTCGGCCTCTGCGACTTGAAGTTCAGTATCGTATGCATCCTCAGTTAAGCAAATTCCCATCAAATTTTTTCTATGAGGGTTCACTTCAGAATGGAGTGTATGCTGGTAGGTTTATGTATGAATTCTTCTGTTATTACATTACAGACATTTTACTTACACAGAAAGCTGCTTAGTTCTCTATGTTATACCACATGAATTAATATTATGTTTTGCTAGCTCTGGATTGTCATGTGTGGTACAACATTTTCCTTTTTTGTTTAATATTATACACATGAATTTTATTCCCTTTCTTCAAGTACTTCACTTAATGTTTTTTTAAAGTAACATAATAATATAGTTGTGTTACTTTAATATTAAAGCTTCCCCATTTTTAATTTAATTTCATGTAGATGAGAGAAAAATGAAAGGAGTTGATTTTCCATGGCCTCAGCCTGACAAGCCCATGTTCTTTTATGCTTGTCAAGGACAAGAGGAGATTGCTGGCTCTGGTACTTCATATTTGAACAGGTGAATTTCCCACAAAAGTGTTTTAATAATTGTTTAAGATTTTTAACTCCATAAGCATTTTGAATTTTGCACTTTAAAACATATTTTCTTTACCCTATCGGGACCTGTGTACATTTTTCGTGTGTTAAGTACAAACTTGCATATCAGATTTCAAAATTTAAGTAAAAAATATAATTCTAACACTATTTCTACAATTCTTTTACTCAGAAATATCTTACAACTAGTATTTATTTGTTATATAATATTTATTTAGCATAACTCGCAAAGAAAAATGAAAAAAAAAAGTCTAAACTTTCTAACTTCAATATCTGCACAGCTATAAGGTATTTTGCCTGCAAAAAGTTCATTTATCAATTTTTTTGACTTTTTCTGCTCATCCCAAAGTATAGATTCCTATTTGTAAAAAGCTGTCATCCCTTCTCAAAATTTAATGACCCATGCTTTGTTTTTCATGATTTGTGGCTTTACTACTACAGCCCTTTGCTACCCTTTCAGATAACAAATTACTTATTTCACCATGGGGTAAATTAAGTGGTTTGAGTAGTAATTGTAGAATCTTTAGCTATTGACTACCTAGTGTTCCTTTAGAAATGAATAAAAAATCTAATGAGAAGTTAAGGTTAATTAGGAGCAAACCACAGATATGAATATTTTTATACAGTTTCTTTAGATGTTCTTTTTGTTTGGGGAAATGTTTCTATGTTTAATTATATCTGAAAACTATATTAATTTTATTTTATATCAAGACAACATTTAAGTTTAATTAGGTTTAAAAAGTGTGGTAAACCATGGCAAACTATTCAGATCAAACTTTTTGTTATTATATACTATTGTTAAATTTATAGTATTCAAACAACACATTCAAATAAAAATATGTATTAATTATTGAAAACAAACTAATGTATTGTTATTAGATTTCAATTTATTTTGACCTTGACTATTGTTGGCAAAAATCATTATCTAGCTTGACAAAGATCGTGATGATGTTTTAAAAAGATTGGTTCCTAGGTCCCGATACACTTTTTTTGTCATGTTTTTTTTTATGGTGACTGCTTCTATTGGCAAAGCAAAGTATCAAAGTTAATGAATATCAAACTAGTTGAAAATGGTGGGATGTATACAAGTGAAAAACTTTCTGATCTGTTTTTAAAAAATTAAAATTTTAAGATGAAAGATAGTATTTTCAAATTTTTTTTCAAAACTATGTCTCCCAACAAAATTTTGAAAATTTCACAACCTAAAAAAATTATAATTATACTAAACCAAATTATATGAATTTTTAAAGTAGAAACTAGATATTTAAAAAGTCCGTTGTAAGTTTCACGCATCTTTGTTAAGTGCATTAATTTTGAGAAGGAAAAAATCAGGTAAAATTTATCTTTCTGGTCAAGATAAGAAATTAAAGCAATAATGTTTTTGTCAAATGAAGACATTTTATCATTGAATAAATTAAAAAATAAAATATAGTTCCTTATTTGAGAAAATAGTTTTCCTTGTAATAATCTTTTAAAGCTCTTATCAAGTATTTATTAATAAAAAAAAAAAAAGAACCAACTTTTTTTTTTTACTTTTTGTAACTTGTATATTAGGTAGGTAGTTAGTTATACTCATTTAAATTTTTACTTTTTGTTTTAATTTTAAG